GTGAAAAGTGGAGTTGTTTCTGTGTGTTCTTTTTGGGCAGTGAGCAAAAGCAGGCAAGTGTAGTGTCCTTTTATCTAAGATCCTCCCCAGCTGTTCTTTTTGTTCCATTATTATTTTTTTAACTTTACATTCGGGACTCTACTAATTATCTAATAACTCGAAGAATATGTGTGGAAAAAAAAAGATGGAGAAATGTTGACATTTTGGGACCCTCCTTTCCAATTTCCATCACAAAAACCGCGTGGTGGTCGTAGTCATTGGTCTATCACGACAGTGGCTTACTTAGGTTCGATCTTTTTTCATTTATTAAATATGGACCAGTAACCATTATGTTTTTTTTGTCAAGTTCACCACTTGCCAAAAAGACCAATAGCTTTTCTGCTGTACCACTCAGTCTTTGGTATAAAAACAACAAAGCTTGGAGGCATTGTTGCAACATCTTTTAAATCAGAGACACAAAGTGTAACAGTGAATCCTCTGCCATCGAGACTTTCACAACAAGGTGAAAAAAGCTGAAGTAACCCAAGTGCTAATAGGTTATAGAAACATTGTCACTAGATTTTGCCAGAGGAATATCGTTTCTCTGCAGAAATGTGCTCAGGCAAAACCATAAACCCTGACATGGATGCTTGTGTAAAAGGTGAGGAGACTGGAGGATTCTCTCAGAGCCGCCTTAAACCAGATGGTTGACTGTTGATAACGTTGTCTGTTTAAGATATATATCACAACTCTTCTGCTGCTTTATTCTTTTCGAGACTTGAGGAATTTGGATGGTGATCCAGACGCTTTCAAAGCGTTTTTCATTTCCGCTGTGTACTCATAGAAGATGGAAGATGGTAACCCTCGAAGTTGCTTATGTACTGATACAAACTTCGAAACTTAGACGCTGTACGATTTCACCTTACTATACAATCTAAAGTGTCTACTCCTAACCAGATTTGTTTCACCATCCCAAAATGGCACATAAGCATATGGGGTTAACTTTATTTTGGTGTTTTTTTTACTTTCGTGAGTTTCCTATTCTCCAATTTTGACTACAGAAACGCCAAACCCCTGAGTTTATCCTCAACATTATAGTCCCCATGTACATTGCTCCTCGGGTTTTCATAGTTTACTTGACAATGCACCACACTCCAGTCAATGATCTTATGACTTGGTTTTGACATACTTATATACTAACAACAATTGCTAAAACAACTACATAATCCTAGTGAGATCAT